GATCCCGGGCATGCACCAACGCACTGCTTCTCCGGCCATGCTGAGGCCCTGTCCCACATGCAGCAACTAGAGGGATGTGCAACTATGACATACGGCTATCTGCTGGGGCTTTGGGGTAAAAAAGGGAGGAGGATTGCCAATAGATGTTAGCTCAGAGCCAGTCTTCCTCAGCAAAAAGAGGAGGATTAGCATGGATGTTAGCTCAGGACTGATCTTCCTCACAAAAAAAAAAAAAGTAGTATACACAGAAATTTATTTTATTTTTTAAAGGCCATTATACGTTAGCCAGGCTAAGTCCTGAAAGTCGTAAACTCTGGTCCTCACGTTTGCTGGGAAAATGGGACAGTGGGGGTTAATATGCCTTGGTCAGTGGCTCAGGTTGGCACAGTAACGCCTTTGCTCCCTGTTTTAGTTGCAGAAACAGGACAACAGAATATGACTTGGTTGGAGGTGATCAGCTCAGCTGTCATTTTGGCTCCATCCTGCAAACGACAGGGCTCCAGTACAGGGATTTCATTCACATAAGCTTTCATGACCAGGTAAAGTATGACAGTGGTTCCTCACTTCCTTGGGGTCCTGGAGTCTTTTGAGATTCTGATGCAAATTATACATTATTCCCCCAGTAAAATGTGTGTAGACACACACACTCACTCACCCCCAAAGTTTGCTTACTGTTTCGGGGGGTTCACAAACCCCCTTGGAGCCCACACAAGTTTAACATAAGATGGAGCAAAAATCTTCATCAGTGATACTATACTGTGTTGTACATGAGCCCATCTTTTATTGAAGAATAATGAGTTGCCTTTGGTAGTAATCCCACACAGGTGTGTGAAGTTAATTCATCCTTGTTTCTGGATCTGAGCTGGATCCATAATAGGGTGGTGCAGTGAGTCTCACACTTTGGAGGGTGTGGGAGTCACTGGGGAGGCTGGTGAAATACAGAAGCCAGCTCTGGCGTCTATGACCCGTCCTTGGTGTTGCTTCGTAGCTCTCCAGGTGATTCTCATGCACCAAAAGTTAAGAAACACTGGTGTAGTGCGGTGGTTCTCAAATTTGCCACCTAATAGAATCTCCCGGGGAGCTTTTAAAACTCCCAAAGCCCAGGCCACATCCCAGATCAATTAAATCAGAGTCTCCGGCGGTGGGACCCCAGCTCAGGAGCTCCCCGGATGACTTCAACGTGCAGATGATTATGGGACCCACTAGTGTACTCCTCTCCAGCCCAGGGGCTCCCAAACGACTGCATTTTAGAATCACCTGGGGAGGTAAAAAAAACAAATCCAATGCCCAGGTCACACGCCATCCCAGTTAAATCAGAATGTCTAGGGTGAGACAGACGTGAGTATTGTTTTAATATCATCAGTGAGTCTGGTGTACAGCAAAGAGCAGGAGCCCCTGAGCCTCTGCCCTTTCACTGAGTGGTAATGACAGAAAGAACTGATGTATTTTAAAGAAGACAGTTTTTCACAAGGGTTTGTGACTATTCTGTGAGCTCTTTCAAGGAGGCCCCCCACAATATCATCGTGTAAAAGTTCCTCTCCTGTGGAAACCAGGGAAATGAAGTCGGCAGTCTTCTTTCCTGCTTGTTGCAAATACATAACGTTCACCATACACAAATGGCCATCATCTTAGTATTGCTACCACTGATCGATTGCCTTCCAAGAGCCAGGTATTTTCTCAGTCTGCACACCAGCCGGAAGAGTCAGGGGCCATTATATCCTTTTTAAAGATGAGGAAACAGAGAGTAAGAGAACTTAGGACATATGCTTGAGATCAGAGTTCTTAACCCAGGTCTGCCTAACGCCAAACCCTCTCAGTGTTCTGTCAGGACTCTGGTCCAAAGGCAGGAGCCTGGAATTACAGCTGTAGCTGTGACTGTTCTAAATGATAGTGGATGCATCCAGGGCCCAAGGCACCTTCCCCCTGCTTGCACTTATACAGAGGAGGGGCTCTGCTCTTGCCCTTGAGATGGCCTCCCCGCCCCTGAAGGTAGCAGGGTGGTGGGAACCTGAAGAGAGTCTCTGGTGAACAGCACCTGTTGGTCTTGCCCAGAGGGATGACTTTTATTGATCACCACAGGACTGGATTCATCCATTGCCTCTGGTGGTGTTGGGACTAAAATGAAGGAGATGATTAGACTGTGTCCACCTACAACAGTGTAGTAGATGTTCTTGTGGGGGGTCAAAGAGGCTAGAAAGGAAAACAGAGGTGCTTTTTCATATGAATGAATGCGTGTTTTATGAAAGCCTTTCATTTACAGAGTATCAGAGTAGTTGTATGTCTAGTGAGGATGAGCAGAGAGGTAAGTCTATGCTCTCTCTCCCATCATGCAAGTCAGGTTTCTCAGTGTGGTCATAAGGTGCTGTATTGTTAGAGACACTGTGCTGGCCTAACTCTGTGTCAGTAGAGGCGTGTTCTTTTTATTTCGGCCTGATGCTTATTTCTGTCTCCCTCAGGTATATGAGCTTCCCTTTTTAGTGGCTCTGGATCACAGGAAAGAGTCTGTTGTGGTAGCTGTGAGAGGAACCATGTCTCTCCAGGTGAGGAGCCTCACACGTCTGACCTGGGAATGGGGGTGGGGACCACGGGTGCTGTGAATCAACAAGCTGCAGATGCCAGGAGATCCTGCTTTGCGGGAACTGAGGAAGAAGCATTCGTAAGTTACAGCATTTGACACAGAGGAAAACGCTGGAGGTAGAGAATGAGGAAGTGAATCCAGGGTTGTGAAATACTCCCTTTGAAAAAATGGATGAAGTTGTTTCCTTTAACTGACAAATGTCAGAAATATAGCTGCCAGCAGGGTTGGCTCCCCAGCTCAAGGAGCTCCTAAAGGGGTTGCCTGCTTGACTCCCCTGATGTGCCTGGCCAGGCCCCCAATCAGGGTGACTCTCCCCTCAAATCTTCTGTTCCAAAGCCAGAAAAGGATAGTAAGTGAAGTAGTGCTGTCAAAAGTCACACCGCTGTTGTCAGCTCCACCGTGAGTTCCTGCCAGTCAGCTTCCCTGCTCGGCTCTCTCTGCTGGTCCCCTCCTCCAGATGCTGTGAGAGCTGCTGTTTATCCATCTGATCCTTCTCTTGTCCTGCTCGTTCCTGCCTTCTTGGGCTCCTGGAGATGCTGGACAACTTTCTTCTCTCCATTTCTGTCTCTGTCATGATTTTTGGTCTCTTCTTGGCCATTCCTCAGTCTCATTTCCTGGTTCTTACTTCTCTGCTGACCCAGAAAATGTAATGAGACTCCAAAGTTCAAGCCCTTGATCCTCTTCTGCTCTTTCTGACCAGTTCTGTGGGGCAGGGCTCGCACTCCTGGCTGTTGGCTGGGACCCCACACCTGCGTCTTCAAGGGGCACCTTGCTCGGCCCAGAGGCACCAAAGAAAGCAGACACCTCGCCTCCTCCCAGACCTGCTCTTCTACCTGGGCCCCCATTTCTAGTAATTATGCAGCATCCCCCGGTTGCCCACTAAAGAAACGCTGGAGTTATCTTCAGTTTCTCTCCTCGCGTACTGCCCATTCTGTTGTGTGTGGAGTCCAACCCTGGCCGCAGTCTCTCTCGCCATCTCCTCCATTCCCAGTGCCGTGACCCTAGTTCTGGCCTAGTCCTCTCTTTCCTGGGCCAATGAAATAGTTTTCTCCCTACGTCCCTGTTTCTAGTCTCTCATCTTCCCAATCTGTCCCTTATACTGTTCACGAAATACTCTTTCTAGAACATGGGTCAGATATTACCACTCCTTCTCAGAAGGTGGTATTCCAGTGGCTTCCCACTGCTTTTAATACAAAGTTCATGTTTCTTATCACAGCTCTATTGGTGCTTTAGGATCTGACCCCAGCCTACCTTTCCAGTTCCCACCCTGCGCACCAGTGGTTCCTAACCCTGGCAGCTTTGTGAAGAGTGTATGCGTGGAGCCCCTCCCCACAGTGGGTTGGCCTCACTGGGTCCTGGGGACACACCAGCCTCTCAGGCTCTACCCGAGGCCTCTCAGTGCGTCCAGAGCTGAGCACGTGTGTGCCTGGCCCGCCACCTGCTTCCCACACTCATAGATGCCTCTGCCTTGGGTCCTGCTGCTCCCTTGGGTAAGGATGCCCGCCTCTCCCCTCTGCTTCCCAAAAGTGAGCTTTTCCTTCGGGCTCTGGCTTAGGCATCACCTCCTCTAGGAAGCCTGCCCTGCCCTGCGGTGCTCACCCCTGTGCCTCGTTGATGGATCTCTTACCCTTCCTTAGGTTTAGCAAGCTGATGACTGTGAGCCTGCTACAGGGCTCTGTGCTTCGTGGGTACTTCGAAGATGTGTACAGTGAGGGAAGGCAGAGGGTGTGTCTTAGACATGTCCCGTGTTCTCCTCTCCAGGTTCACCCCTGGCCCAGAGCTGGTCATGCCAAGGGTTCCCCAGGAGCTACCTGCCCGCCTGGGTTTCTCTCCCGAGTTCAGGCATCACAGGTTCACGTCTCAGTAGTCTGACCCGGGAGACGGTGATATCCCTGCTGTCCCTCAGAGGGACCCACCCCCCCGCCTCAGACAGTGCACAGCTCATCCCAACTGACAGGCTCTTCTTCCAATGCACTTTCCATAGGACATCCTTACGGACCTGTCAGCGGAGAGTGAGACCCTCAACTTAGAGTGTGAAGCGCAAGACTGTTTGGCACACAAGGTAGAAGCCCTGGGGTTTGCGGTCTGGAATGTTGCGTAAAGGAGAAACTCAAAGGGGCCGGAATTTTCCCAACTCTGAATCTCTCCTGTTAATGCTAACTGTGTAACAAATAGCTGCATATACCAAGCAAGTGCTGTGCAGAGTAAGTGCTTTTCATTCTTACAGTGCAGATTCCTCTGAGACAGCCCTATGAGGTGGTTTTTGGTTTTGTCTTTTAAGAGAAAGAAGCAGGTTCAGAGCAATAGTGACTTGCCAGAAGCCACAGTTATCGGAATAAGTGTCAGAATCGGCATTTGAACCCCAGTTGAACACTTTTCTTCCCTTGTAATTAAAGTAATACATTCTCATGGTGAAGAAAAGCATTAGTACAGCACAGAGCAAACTAAACCTGTTTGGCAGACTAAACCTATTACAGTACTAAGACCATCCTAATGCAGTGCCGACTCAGCCTCCCGCCCAGGACCCCTCCTGAGAGGCAACACTGTCAGCACTTCCTGGCATGTCATTCCTCAAGTTTTCTCTGTAGATGTCACAATACCCAAGTTCTTGTTTCAGTGTTACTGTGCCGTGGGTGTGGGGTATGTAAGTTCCTCCTGAAAGACTAGAACACGGCCTGCCTAGAGCAGAGTTTTTTAAGTTTTAAATGTATCTAACATAATATTTATTATTTTAACCATTTATAAGTGTACAATTCAGTGGCATTAAATACATTCAGAATGCTGTGTACCCATCACCTCTATCTATACCCAAAACCTTTTCACTGTCCCAAACATAAACTCTGTACCATTAAATACTAACTCCCCACCCCCAGCAGCTGGTAACCACCATTCTACTCTCTCTATGAATTTGCTTATTCTAGGTACCTCATATAAACAGAATCATACAGTATTTGTCTTTTTATGACTGGCTTATTTCACTTAGCATAATGTTTTCAGTATCCATCCATGTTGTGGCATGTGTCAGAATTTCCTTCCTTTTTAAGGCTGAATAATATTCCATTGTGTATATGTGCCACCTTTGGTTTATCCATTCATCCATTGATGAACATCTGAGTTGTGGCCACATTTTGGCTATTGTGAATAATGTCGCTGTGAACATGAGTGTGCAGATATCTGTTCTATGCTTTCATTTCTTTTGGGTATATACCCAGAAGTGGGATGCTGGGTCTTATGGTATTTCTATGTTTAACTTTTTGAGGAACCACCAGACTGTTTTCCAACACAGCTGCAACATTTTACATTCCCACCAGCGATGCAGGAGGATTCCCATTTCTCCACATCCTTGTCAACACTTATTTTCTTTTCTTTTATTATAGCCATCCTAGTGGATGTGAAGTGGTACCTCACTGTGGTTTTGATTTGCATTTCCCTGATGACTGATGAGGTTGCAGACCAGTGTTCTAACGTTTGAAGGAAAGTCTAGAATGATTCCCTCCAGAGGTTACAGCAGCTACTGGGTAGAAGGATGTCAGGGGTGGAGGGCAATGTGCTTGTGCTATTTTTATACACTTCATTTGTTTTTTTAACCAAAACATGTATCACTTTTGTAGTAACCATTTTTTAAATAAAATGCTTAATTTTTATAAAAATACATGTTACAGCAAGAGTTTAACTGCTGGTGCTTGAACCGTCGTGTCCTGCGTGGACAGTTTTCAGTAGGGAGGCAGAGGAGAGGCTTTTGTCTGCCACTGGTTGGAAGCTTGACAGTCCTAGGAATATGAACTTGTTCCTTTCAACCTTTAACTGTTTTTTAATGCCTCAATTCACAAGAGTCCAGTTTAACTATTTTGGGTGCGTGTGGAGAAAAACAAAAATTTTATGCCTTATTATAGAGACACATCAACCAGCCAACCACAGAATACCTACAGAGTCCGGTGAGCTGGGTTGTGGTTCTGCTCTTAGAGGAATGTGTCCACTGTGTAAAGGCTTTCGGTGACCACAAGCTGCTACCCTTTAGGCCTGGCTCTGTTTATCAGCTGAGGCCTCCTCCAGCGCTGTTTCATTCAGTAACACTCTTACCTCCGGCCGGGAAGACAGCTCCTTGAGGCAAAAGGGCATAAACTGTTCTCTGCTCTTAGCTTTGGTTCTGCCAAGTTTTGGCTCTGACACTGTGCACAGTAATTTGGAGTCCAAAGCCATGCAGCTGAAAGCGGTCTTAGCATTTCGTCTGTAGCACATGAGCCAGGGAGACTTACAATCAGCAGCAGTTGTGGTCCATGTTGTGTTCGGCTCTGACTGCCCAGCACCGGACACGGGTAGGTGGCTGATGTTGAAGGAAGTTGAGTGAATTGCATAGTTGTAGAGGGGTAAAGGGAAATTTGATGGTTTGTCAAGAAGTGCTGTCAGATTGTACCCTGAATGTTAAACCCATCAAACGTTCTTTTGGTTTTTCTTATATGAGGCCAGGTTCAGCATTCTGCTTGCAGAATTACAGAATCAGGAATTTGCAGTAGCTTTAGAGATGATCAGAACAGTCTGCCGTCTTGTATGGAATGTCTCCTACTTCATCCTGTCAGAGGACAAGCCACACGAGGACAGGGCCAGACTGTCTTGTCTTGTCACGTAGGAAGCACTCTGAAAATATTTTTGATCAACAGGCTTTTCTCTCCTCTATTAGAACTGCTTAATTTTCAGGAAGTCTGTTTCATAGGACAGCTATATTTGTTAAGAAATTTTACATTTTATTTATTTTTTGAAATTAAAACCTGACCTCCCTAGAACTCACTTCTGATGGTCTTGGTTTTGCTTTTGCAGGAACAGTAGATGCTTAGTCAGAGTCACTGACTCAGAACTTTATGTTTTAACATCACTTGAAAAAATCAGTCATTTAAGGGGCTGGCCCCGTGGCTTAGTGGTTAAGTGCACGTGCTCTGCTACTGGCGGCCCAGGTTCAGATCCCGGGCGTGCACCGACGCACCGCTTGTCCAGCCATGCTGAGGCCGTGTCCCACATACAGCAACTAGAAGGATGTGCAACTATGACATACAACTATGCACTGGGGCTTTGGCGGGGTGGGGGAAGGAGGAGGATTGGCGATAGATGTTAGCTCAGGGCCGGTCTTCCTCAGCAAAAAGAGGATGATTAGTATGGATGTTAGGGCTGATCTTCCTCACAAAGAAAAAAAAAAAGATCAGTCATTTAAAATCTAAGTCTGCGGGTCAGCCCTGGTGGCCTAGTGGTTAAGGTCAGGGCACTCCGCTTCGGCGGTCTGGGTTCGGTTCCCCAGTGCAGACCTGCACTGCTCTGTTAGCAGCCATGTTGTGCTGGTGGCCCACATACTAAAAAATAGAGGAAGATTGGCATAGATGTTAGCTCAGGGCGAATCTTCCAACCGTGTGGACTGGGCTGAGAAGTAAATGTTGGTACATCCGTCCATACAGCAGAATACTGTATAGCTGCAGAGAAAGCTGCAGAAGTGTATCTGTTGACATGGAACATCTGGGGCCGGCCCGGTGGCATAGTGGTTAAGTTCGCACACTCTGCTTCGGCAGCTGGGGGTTCACAGGTTTGGATCCCAGATGTGGAATGTCTGTTCTTGATGTCACCCCCCATTCGTGAGAATATTTATTGAGCGTGCTTCATGCTGCAGCGTGGCACCAGATGCCAGGAACACAACAGGGAGCAATAGACGTGGCTGCTGATCCCGAGATGCTTATTACTATTTGAGGAGACAGAGAGTCACAAATAGGTGTACAGAGTGTAATCCTGTCATCTGTCATGATGGATCCTGCCTTGTCTCACAATCACTAGCCGCCTCCTTTGTCTGCATCTTTAGGGGATTTCTCAAGCTGCCAGATACGTTTACCGACGACTCATCAACGATGGGATTTTGAGCCAAGCGTTCAGCATTGCTCCTGTGAGATTTTTTAAATTTTTCTTTTCTTTCATTTTCTTTGTCATTAGCTGTTTGGTTTTTTAACCTTGACTCATTCTGCTTTTGTCCTCTAGGAGTACCGGCTTGTCATCGTGGGGCACAGCCTGGGGGCAGGCGCTGCAGCCCTGCTGGCCATCATGCTCAGACCCGCCCACCCACAGGTCAGGTGTTACGCCTTCTCCCCGCCCCGAGGGCTGCTGAGGTACTTCTTATTTCCATGCCTATAACAAGGTGCTACTTGCAAGTCATATGGTCAAGGCTAGTCTTTTACTTGTAGTTTAATTATAATTTCTCAGCCTCAGGAGAAGTTTGTTTCAATGCATTGTTTAGTTGAAGAAAGACTGAATAGTTTTTCATAGGTCTGTCTGACCATAGCTTTGATTTCCTAAATAATAGTGCTAAGATTCATTTTTTATAAGTTTGAAAAGTACATTTTTCTTTTCTGACTCAACATACTTAATCCTGGACTGTTCTATATAACCTTTTGCCCTGATTGTAAAAGAAATTTTTACTAATATAAAAAAGAAATAAAATAAATAAAAAGGAGAAAAAAAAAATCTGAGCCATCTTAGAAATTTTGGAAAATATAAAAATGTAGAGATCAAAGGTCCTCTACACAGAAATCACCATTGTAACTACTTAGGCTTATTTTCTTCCACCTGTTTGTGTGTGTGGATATGTGTTTTACAAATTGAAGTAATAACCTATTTACATTATATCCTTAAATATTCTTTGAGAACGTGTTTTTTAAATAGCTGCTTAGTATCCTATCATCTGGTTACACCATTTTTACTTATTCCACTACTGATAGATATTTACATTCTTTCCATTTTTTCATTATTATAAGTAATTCTATCAGTATCTTTATACATAAATATTTGCGTACTTAAAAAATTTTTAAAGCTGTTTTTATATTAAAATATATATTTACACATATATAAAAAGACATGAGTGACTTTTTAAAATAACTGTATTTTTTTATTGTAAAACAAAGACAAAGCATACATTTTTGAGAATAAGCAAACGTCCATAAAACTTGGATGTATTTTGCTGTGTGAAAAAAGCCTATCACAAAAGACCTATTATATGATTCCATTTATATGACATTCTAGAAAAGACAAAACTGTAATGACAACAGATCAGCGGTTGCCTGGGGTTGGGGATGGGGTTGATTGCAAAGGGACACAGAGAGTTTTGGGGGTAATGGAAATGCTCTATATCTTCGTTGTACCAGGTGGTGGTTAAACACTTAGATACATTTGTCAAAACTCATCGAATTGCACACTTAAAATGGGTGATTTTACTATATATAAATTATACTTTAATAAAGCTAATTTAAATACACACACACCTCTGCACCCACCCCCCATGTTGAGAAATAGAGCACTGTCGGTGCGTTAGAAATTCCCTGCACATCCTCTCCTGTGCTGCTTACAGATAAGCACTATGCTGATCTTTGTGAAAATTCTTCCCTTGCTTTAAAAAGAATAATTTTACCACCTGTATACATGGCTCTACATAATACAGTTTGGATTTGCATGATTTTGAATTTTATGTAAATGGAATTGTACTTTTTTTCTGTGACTTTTGTTCCACATTATGTTTGATGCCTGTAAGATGTTACTCTGTCAGTTCTCATTATATTTCATCATATATCATTTATCTGTCAGAAATTATTTATCTGTTTGACTGGCGATGGACATTGGGTTGTTTCCAGTGTGGGGCTGTTACAAACGATGCTGTAATGAACTTTCTCTGAGACGTAGGTCTAGATGGGAATTACTAGATTGTGGAGTTTGCACACACTCAGCCTTCACTTTTTATGCCAGTGTTTTTGTTTTACAAAGTGGCTGTGCCAGTTTACGTTCTCAGCAGTGTGTGCGAGTTCACATTGCTCCACGTTCTCACCAGCACTTCATATTGTCAGATTTTTTAAATTTTGCCAATCCGGTGGGTGTGTAGTGATGCTTCATTGTGGTTTAATTTGGATTTTGATGATTACTAATGAAATTGAGTCTCTTTTCATATATTTATTGGCTACTGAGTTTCCACTTTTGTGAAAATCCTTTTGCCCCTTTTTGTATTGGGTTGTGTTTTTTCTCATTGATTCGCGTGTGTATTCCATCCGTGAGTTCTTTGTTGGTTGCAAGTATGTGTTGTAAATATGCTCACCACTCCTTGATGTGTCTGTCTTTTTACTTTCTTTAAGTGATGTCTTCAGTTCATCAGTTCTTAATTTTAACATTGACTAATTTGACATTCTTTTCATTTATGATTTTTGGGTTTTTGTTTCTTTTTTAAGAAATGTTTCTCTGTCCTAAGGATGTGGAGCTAGTCTCCTATATTGTCTTCTAACAGCCTTTTAGTCTGGCCTTTCACCTTTATTTAGATCTTTAATCTTTGTTTAGTTGGCTTTTTTGTGTATAGTATGAGGTAAGGATCCAGTTTCATTTATCTCCCTCACACAAATAATGCATTGTCTTAGCATTATTTATGGAAAAGTCCATCCGTCCCCTACTAATATGCAGTACCACTTCTGTCATTTATGAAGTGTCCATCACGAGTCCATCTCTGCATTCTCGCCTTGCTTGCGTTGGTCTCATTGTCTGTCTCTGCTCTAGTACCACACTGGGTTAATTACCTTAGTTTGAAACTAAATGTTGGCATCACACAGGGCAAATCCCCATGCCTTTTGCTTTTTCAAGAGCTTCTTGGCTATTCTTAGCCCTTTGCACCTCCATGTAAATTTTAGAATCAGTTTTGCATGTTCCATAAACAAAAGGTTTGTTGGAATTGTGATTTCCACGGCGTTTATTTTCTAATTCAATTGGGAGGGAACAGACATCTTGATATTACAGCCATGTATTGCTTAATGATGGGGTATATGTTCAGAGAAATGCATTGTTAAATGATTTTGTCGTTGTGCAGACATCATAGAATATACTTACACAAACTGAGAGGGTATAGCCTACTATACACCTAGGCTCCATTATAATCTTATGGGACCGCCGTTGTATATGCAGTCCGTCATTGACCGAAACATTGTTATACAGCTCGTGACTGTATTGAGCTTCCAAGTCTCTGAACATAAAATCATTCTCCAAAATTCAGGTATTCTTTAATGTCTTCCAAGTTTTATAATTTTCTCCATAAAGTCTTATACATCTTTTGTTAGATTTATTCTTGGGCATCTTGTAGTCTTTCTCTGTTGGTGACATATATAAATTCCATATAATTTTGTATTTTGATTTTGTATCCAACAACCTTGTTAAATTTTCTCATTAATTATAATTAATTTGCAGATGCTTTTGGTTTTTTTAATGTATTTAATAATTTCATGTGTAAATGACAGGTTTATCTTCTTTCTGTCTGTCTGTCTTTTGGTGCTGATAGGATCACCGTTAAAATGTTCTCTGTGTCCCTTTGCAGTCAGTCCCCTCCTCCTACCCCCAGGCAAACACTGATGTGCGTTTTGTCACTGTAGTTTTTCTTTTCTGGAATGTCATATAATGGGATCATATGTAGTCTTTTCTGGAATGTCATATAATGGGATCATGTGTAGTCTTTTCTGGAATGTCATATAATGGGATCATGTGTAGTCTTTTCTGGAATGTCATATAATGGGATCATGTGTAGTCTTTTCTGGAATGTC